AACTCACCTTGTTCTTTATAGCCTATAAAGTGTAAAGTTAGTTTAGGTCTTGATTGTTCTTGTTACAATGTTGGCATCATGATTAAGATAATCTCCCCAAGTCTCTCTTTTTAGTATTACAACATCAAGTTGGATGCATATGGATTGGACAACAGAGGCTTCTGTCTCTCTTGCTTTTGCCGTTTTGGTTCACATGTTGTGTTTTTTTCTTTTGAAAATGTATAACAGTTTAGGCTATTAATAAAACTCAATCCAGTCAAACCTAAAATGATTTTGTGAGTCTTCTCGACCTCCGGAAAATGAAGCCACCAGCTGGTTTTTTTTTTTTTTTTTTTTTTTTTTTTTTTAATTTTAAATAACGGTTTTTTTTGTAAAACTTGTTAAGTTTTGGCGTTTTTTTTTTTTTTTTCCTGATTTAATTGTTTAAAAATTGTTTCCTAATTGTCACACTATGTTTTATCGATGACAAAGCTGTTGCTATTCAAAGTCCACATAAATTTTTTTATCGAAAGAAATAATATTTTTTTTATACAAAATACAAAAATTTCATTAAGTAAACTTCAATAGTTATATGAAAATTGTCACAGGATATCAAGATTTATATGAATGAACGAACACAACAAACAACGCACATCATGCAATACCAAACGAGGCTTATATCTTTAAAACTATTGCTAGCACCTGAAACAAAGCAACGGTCAAGCTCATTGCATCGTAGTTATGCGTAACTTTCAAACAATTTGATTTAAAAATGGTTAAGAACCAAATTCAAACACTTCCACCCATATGTATGTGAAAAGTTAATAATTTGGTTTTAATTAAAGCCCTAGAGCACTTCCACCCATTGTTTTTAGACATGGCAAAGTGATTTTAAACACCCCAGCGATGATAGGATGACATCAGTCATGTGAACATGCACCTGGGGTCTGGTCAAAACTTGGAATGTAACCGCCATTATCACATGGCACTTTTTGAGTCTTTCGATTTGAATGGTAACTTCAATCCAACAATCTCGATTTTTTTCTAAATCAATTTTTTTTCAAAGAAAAAAAAAGAAAATTTTGAAATACAAAATCCATTAAAAGTTGATAAATATATTTTAAATAAAAAAATTCCCATTTATTTCCCTAAAAATAAAATGTGGACGCATAGTGCAACTATAGTAAACTATAGTAACCTAGTCTAAACCCTCATCCATTGAATAATTATTAAATAATTGAATCATACATTAAACAATAAAATAGTCATTGTGAATAGTAACTGCCACGTTTGTTACTATTCATAGTGGTAGGGAGACGAATAAAGTGGCGCACAGATTAGCACGAATGAGTCTGAGTTGTGATAATCCTATTCTTTGGTTTGAAGAAGCTCCTGATGTAATTGTGGATCTTCTCTTTGAGGATATTAATTCTTAATTTGTTTGGTGCGGGACACTCCTTTTCCTTTCGACCGGGTTGAAATTCCCCGCAAGGTTTTATTGAAGCCCACTGTATGCACCATGTCCTTATTGCTTGCATGTATTTATATCGTTAATGAATATCGTACATTTTCTCTATTAAAAAAAAAAAAAAAAATCTACCCCAACCCTATAGGAGCCAAATCCACCAAAATGGGTGAAAATGTTCTTAGCTATTAAAGCAACTCCACCCCAAGCAAATTGCTTGGGCTATTAGGCAATCCAATCCCCCAAAATCCCAAAACCTATCCCCCTTGCCAAATCAACTGGGCTCTAGGGGGCGGACTAACCACACGGGCTAGAATAGGCAACATTGTGACTAAGTGGATCTGACGTTAGGCGATGTGGCTCACTTTGCGCCATTGGATTTCCAACACCTAGATTTCTAGGTTGTTAGATTTCCAACTGTTAATTTTTATTTTTTTTAATTTGAATGTAACGACTAGTACACATGGTGAATTTTGTTCCGTTAGATTTTCCAATCAACAGTCCAGATTTTTTAGCCTTAAATTTTTTTTAAAAAAAATCAGCAAAAATTCTATTATTACCATTGGGACTACATGTCAAAATTTGGGTTGTCAGATTTAAAAAAAAAAAAAAAAAAGGAATCCAACAGTCCATATTTATTAGGTTAGATAAAAATCATTATAAGATTATAAAACAATTTAGAAAAATATAAAAAAATATATAATTTTTCTTATAAATACCCAACCATCATCTTCCATTATACACCACATTTCAATAATTTCATATACTTTCAACCAATTTGTCTCCCAAAGTTTTTCATATACTTTTGTTTGCAAAAAGTTAACGATACAGGCTCGGATTGGTCGATCATCAAAGATGTTACATTGTGTGAATGCTAGGTTTGAGTTTCTCATGACCCGATTACAGGTAATGAGTAGAAGACTCAACAACTATGGAAGAAAGTTTGTACCTTGTTTTGTGAGAAGCTTGGCAATAGACGGAGCAAGCTCTAGCAAGTTTTTGAAAAATACTCAACCAATCGTTTACTAGTTGGAGAAACGCCATCTCTCAAGCTCATGCTAACCTTCGAAGTGACAAAAATTTATCGGATCAGGTAATTGACATTAATTAGTTTGAATATAATTTTTTTCTCCCATTTTTTTATAGGCACTTCAGGCACAAGCTTGATAGTATGCAACCAACAAGAACAAATCATTCAACCGCTTTCAATGTTGAAGTGTTGTCAAAGATTGGTCTAGACACAAAATTGTGGCAAATGGTCCATAAGTTGTCATGAGTGATACCCCTCTACACTCAACACCAGAAGAAGTTTTCCCTATTCAAGGAGGCAACACATTTGAAGTGTTTGGAACTGACCCGTCATTCATTGCCTCAAGGTAGGAAGGCTGCGAAGAAAAAAAGGGAGTTCTTCCAAGAGTGATTGTAAAATATATGGAAGAACTTACTCGCCAAGATGAATTGAGTTTGGCGTGGGACTTGGCTAGAATTGAGGTTGACAAGGCTAGAAATAAGGCTAGAGTTGCAGCCAATGAGAGACAAAAATAGTTACTTAGACAAGAAAAGAGATACTTAAAGAAGAAATGAGGGCTGAGAAAGATTGTGAAATTATGTCCAACCTCTTCAAGGAATGTCACAACTTTCAAGGTTGCACGTTTAAATCTAGAAAATCTCAATTACTTCGCAACATAAACGAGGTTGGATTGCCATGTGCACAAGAACTTTAAATGGTATATATTCTGATTTACTCCGAAAGATATAGTCTTTAGATAACTATCCATTCTCAAGCAGAACATCCCTTTCAAATACTTAGTTAGGGGCAATTATGAGACCATGATATTTCCAAGGTCGGAGTACGAATGAGAATATGCATACCTTAGAAGTCTGGTCATGGACTCAAACAACTTCCATCAAATTGAGCTACACAGACGGACTAGTGATGCCACCACATCCTGTGTTCCGAAAAAGTAGGCAAAGTCTACCGACTTTGCTGAGATTGAACATTTTGTTCCGCAAGATATGGAAACCTAAATCCGATTGGGATCAGATACGTTTCCTATATTCTTGGAGATTCCTACAATTAGAGACTGGTGTGCGTCGTAAATATTCACATTCCTTAGAAGACGCAATATCTATTCTTATATATCCTATAAGATTCTCCCAGTTTAGTACATATTCTATATCCTAAAAGTACTCTCTCGACTAGCATAAATAAACACTTCTGGGGTTCATCTCTAGTAACGCAATTATTGCACACTCGATTCTCTTGACTACTGCTTGAGTCTCATAATTTGCTTACTAACTTGATCGTCGATGAGCCTTTGGCAAGCACCCAACCGGTGACAAGGTGATCTTATGATTGTTTGTTCTTTTACATGTAGTCGAGTTTGTGCATCTCCTCCACACACAATGGTGTGGGAATTTGGTTCTAACACAAACCATAGAGTAAACTCTTCAACCTAATTGAAAGCATGTTCTGTCATTGAGAATGTATTGATTCAGGTATACCCAGTCATATTGGGACTTTCATATAAATCTCCTTATCTAGATCCCTATAATGATGCGTAGTGACCACATCCATAAGCTGCATACTCAGTCTTTTGAAAAATAGTAAATTGATTAAGTAGTGAAACATAATAATGTCCATTATGGGAGAATACGTTTCCTTATTATCAATCCTAGGGCGTTGTGAGAAACCTTTCACCACGAGGTGGACCTTATATTGTATGACCTCATTATTGTTATTATGTTTCCTTACGATTAGCCATTTGAAGCCTACCAGTTTCTCGTCTGAGGGTGTTTGAACAACTAGTCCGAACGTGCGACGTTTTGCTAAGGAATCAAGTTCAACTTAGATTGCCTCATCCTATTTTGGCCAGTCAGATTGACATTCAACTTCAACAATGGATCATGGTTCGATGTCATCACTCTGTACTATTTCGATGACTGCATAAGCAAACACATTTTGATAATGATCTCATTCAGTTTCCACATGTCTTCCAAACTAGTTGCCAGAGATCTCAAAGTTCACAGGATAGGGACTCATATCCCATGATCTAGAAGAATGCCAAGTTGTCGACGAACGAGGTAGAGAGAACAACCAAGCTTAGGATGACCTACGATGTCCCTTCATGTGTCATTGCTATCCTCTTCTAAGGAAGTTTGTTCTTCTTACTAACATGTTTGCCTCGATTCAGGGAGGGGACATTGACTGGTTAGTTGCCAATATTGTTCTTCGTCTATCATGAATGACATGCTCTTTCAGAACACAAGATCCAACTGGGGCGACCTTAGGAACATCAATCCTTGCATGGTCATTTGTAACAAGAATGTGTGATAATGTGACTGCGCTAGATCAGTACAGACATCTAGCAGATTTTGAGCTACGATTTTTGTTGTCTTGCTTTCATATTCAAATGGTAGAAAAATTAATATTTGGATATGAAAGTGAAAAAAAAAAAAAAAAAAAAAAAAAAAACACTGTTACCGAGAGTAGTAAAATTGAAATTAAACAGAAAAAAAAAAAAGTAGTGGATGGTAGCACAAGCGTAAGAAAAACCCAATGGGATTCCCACATGATAACCCACCCCCAATTACTCTGTTTCCCTCTGGATTCCTGTGTACGGTGCGTGATATAATTTATAAACAGTGTTTTTCCGCCCATTTGAAAAATGAGCTTAAAAGAAAGAAAGCAGATATTCAGACAGAGCATCCAAGATTTTTCTGCTGTCTCTCACTCCCTCACCCGCATTTCTCGTGAATTTCATTCCCTTTCTATTGAAACCACCCCCACAAAAATTAAATAATTAAAATTAACAATATACAATCTTCAAACCCTAACTTCCATCAACCCCAATTGTCTCCTCCTTTCAGCTTCTTCTTTGGAGTTCATGTTCAGGGTAAAGGTTAATGATTTTTTATTATTTGTTTATATTTTTATTCCTATTTTTTGTATGAGTCTGATTTTACTTGGTGTGAATTGTGATGTACATTAATTTTGTTAATTTATTGTTTTTGTTGGTGATTTGGAATGATGAGTTTTTTGTTTTTGTTTGTTTTGAAAGATCTGTGTTAAAAAAAATTGATTTGAAATGGCTGAATGTGTCTGTTTGTTGATAGTAAGATTTGGGTTGTCTGTGTGGGGATCGATACGTGACTTTGTCATTCTTCGTAGTCTCCAAAGTGGTGGGAGTGGCACTTCTTACTTTTGTTTCTTTCCGTTAAGCTGTAATTGGCCAGTTAACCGTTGTGTACAGGTGACGATTGGTGTTGTTATTGTCAAAACTTTCGGTCATTGCAATCGTTGATTGCTTAAATGTTGTACTTCTTGTTAATAAAGATCGAATTGGATGTCCTTTTGTTTTATTCTTTTGGATCTTACCTTGAAATTGAAGAAATAATGAATTAGATTGTTGACATCTTTACTAATTGAGGTTGAAGTAATATCAGTTAACGATTCCCTTTACCTTTCGATTACATTTGGTTCTATATAAATTGGTATTAGTTTTAGGTAATATTTATGCTAATTTTAGTATTCTGTGGATAAAGCATAGACATGGCTGATACTTTTAGGAAATAGAAATTTGATGACTTTTGATATTAACTGAAATGTAGCAATCATGGCCGGCTTTGGATGCTGCATTTTGGACCAAGTAAAGGAATAGTGTTGGGGCACTTCAGTCTGCAAAAAATCAGTATGGCTCTAGCAAACTTCAGGGGATATGTAGCTCTATTTCCTTTTTCTGTGGCTCGGTATCTTAACAATGCTTCGTCAGAAGTGGGTTAGTATGAATTCGCAAGGATATTACATCATCTGCTGTATTTCATTTGGTTCATGAAAAATGAGTACATTGCGCTCGACGTGTGAAATTGTTGAATCAAGAGAAGAGGTCCATTCAGAGTCCAAAATGGATGAGGAAGGTGGAAAACACTGTATGCTGAAATCAGAAAACAAATATTCCATCGAGGATGATATTAATCAGCTTTTTCAGGCAATTGGTGGTAGAAAGTCAGCTAGGATATCAGGTATGTCGCATGAGGCTAGTAAAGAAGCTTTGAGGAAGAGTGCTATGAAAAGGCCAATGAGAGTTAGTTCATCAAATGCATCAGGTATCGGAATTTCAGAGCCTGTGAGTTTGAAACAAGCACTAAGAGGATTGTGCATCACTCAGGCATCAGAGTTGGCTGCCATGAAGCGGTTTTCGAGGCCAGGTCGTTCGTCAGGGGTCTCAGAATCAGGAACTATCAAAAGGTTGTACGGCACAGTGGTAGCCGAGGCCAACGGGACTGGCCTGCCTATGACTGAAGGTAAAGGTAATTATGTAGAGGTGTCACTTGTGCCTGAAGCATCCAAAAATTCTGAAAACAATCCTGGGTCCATGCAATCAGAGACACAGGTTGATACGGCCACAACTTTGGGAGCTGCACTGATGCCAGATGCTAGTAAGATCAGATTAGCACCACATGATCAAATTGCTCCTTCAACATCAATGAAAAGTGAGATATCAAAGGGAGAAGATAGAGAACTGGAATCAGCAGAATCTTCATCTTGCTTTCATGATAGCAAGAAAATCATGCAGAGGGGTGCAGTTGCTTCTATCTCAACCGAAGTTCCAATTAATACTTCAAATTCAAACAAGGGGCTGCACTCTGCTTCTTCTCCATCTGGCTCTAGCACTGGTAGTAAGGTAAGCAAATCCTCTGGCAGTAGTTCACATTTAACCAAGCCGGTACCAAGGAGCAAAAATATTGTTAAGAAAAAAGTGCACGATTCAAGTTCTGGCTCTAGTAGTTCGAAATCAGATAACCGACAGGTTGATAATGATGCATGCTCTAGTACTAGTAAGTTAAAGGACCAGACACTCAACTGTATTCCGAAGCATGAAGGGAAAGGAAATGAGAAAGAGTCTCTAGCATCAAGCACTACGAGTCTTAGCAAAGAAATGAATTCAGGTACAAGCAAACCAGATTTCTCCTCAAATAGCAGCAGTAGGATTAACTTTGTAGTGACAAAAGTTGATGAGAGGTCAAGATCAAGGGAAAACGGGGATTTTTCACAAAGCTCAAAAAGTAGCATTGGTGACTATAGCAGCACTACATGCACTAGTGAGGAAAGCAGTCTAAGTGGTTCTGGTCGTAGCGGCAAGAGGCCTCACATGTCAAGAGACTTGAGATGGGAAGCCATCCATCATGTACAGAAGCAGCATGGAAGCTTAGGTTTGAAGCACTTTAAGTTGCTTAGAAGGATTGGTTCCGGGGACATTGGGACTGTTTATCTTGCTGAGCTAACTGGAACAAATTGCATATTTGCTTTGAAAGTGATGGACAACGAGTTTTTGGCTACCAGGAAGAAAATGATCAGGGCCCAAACAGAAAGAGAGATACTAGAAATACTGGATCATCCGTTTCTTCCTACACTATATTCCCATTGTGTGTCAGATAAGCTCTCATGTTTGGTTATGGAGTACTGTCCGGGTGGGGATCTGCATGTGCTGCGGCAAAAGCAACCTGGCAGGAGTTTCTGTGAACAAGCAGCCAGGTACCTATTTCTTTTTAAGGTCCACTTGTAGTTAACTGTGCCTGCGCTTTTTTAGCTGTGGAAGACGATCAAATGCATACATTTGACATTATTATTTAGTAGGTTACATGTTTGTCTTCCCCTGATTTTCCATTTCTGGAAAAATTCCTTTGATAGTTGTTTGATTCTAGTGCTTACTTTATATTACATCTTTCTTTTTCTCCTTGAGTTTCTGAAATCGGCTTGTCAAGTATATAAGACCTAGCAGTCAACTGTAGGTGAAGATGGTATTTACACTAGATAACATGCTCTGGCCATGTGTATACATGTTTGGTTTGTTAAATTAGATGATTTTATTTCGTGGGATTTAAACTCGTGATCTAATAACATCGAAACAATCTCATTTTGCCTATTGGAATGTAGAAAGCATTGGCCACTAAGGGCTGCCCTGGTGCCTTTAGAGAACTACATGATTGATTTACATCAGCGCAATTGTACTCCAGTATTTTAAATGTTCAATAGACTGATTTCAAGCAATTTTATACTGTTTCTTCAGATTTTATGTTGCTGAAGTCCTCCTTGCCCTGGAGTATTTACACATGCTAGGAGTTGTGTATCGAGACTTGAAACCAGAAAATATTTTGGTCCGAGAAGATGGCCACATCATGCTCACAGATTTTGATTTGTCACTTAGATGTGCTGTCAATCCAACGCTGCTTAAATCATCCTCTCCTGTTTTGGAGAGCACAAGAAAAATGTCAAGCCCATGCATAGAATCTAGCTGCATTGATCCATTTTGCCTTCAACCATCCTGGCAAGTTCCATGCTTCACTCCCAGACTTCTATCTGCCACTGCAAAATCTCGAAAAATGAAATCTGAGCTTGCTGCCCAGGTCACCCCACTGCCACAGCTTGTAGTGGAGCCAACTAGTGCCCGGTCCAACTCATTTGTTGGAACCCATGAATACCTTGCCCCAGAGATCATTAAAGGAGAAGGCCATGGGAGTGCTGTTGATTGGTGGACATACGGAATCTTTTTGTTTGAGCTGTTATATGGTAAGACACCCTTCAAGGGGTCAGGAAACGAGGATACATTATCCAATGTTGTGTCGAAAAGTCTCAAGTTCCCAAGTACCCCTATAGTGAGTTTTTATGCAAGAGATCTGATCAGAGGCCTCTTAATAAAGGACCCTGAAAATCGTCTAGGATCAGTGAAAGGGGCTGCAGAGATCAAGCAGCATCCTTTCTTTGAAGGCCTAAATTGGGCATTGATTCGGTGTGCAGTACCGCCAGAGCTTCCCAAGTGGGGTGATGTTGGAATTTGTACACCGTCTGCTTCGCAGAAACAGGAGAGCTCAGGTTGCAAGGAGCTGGAGGGTATAGGAGAGCATATAGACTTTGAGCTGTTTTAAATCTTTTACATTGGGAAGAAAGGTGATGTTTCTTTTTCCGAAATGTCTTTTCGGTTTCAACTGATGATATAGCTTATAGTGTAAATTAAATGTAACTCGAAATACTGGTGGATAGTTGTAGAGCATGGATACTGATACAGTAGCTGAGAGATGGAAATCGGATTAGCATTTTTCGTGTTCTTTTTGTCTTATAACTCGGGTGTATTCATGTTGCCAGAACTTCTTCTCTTCCCGCAATATGATCCGGTAAGAGATGCAAGTTTCTACCCTCATCACGTGAAGGTCATGTAATTACTTATGTTCTTTTCCAAGTTAAAAATAACCAATTTACCTGCTCTCTCGGGTTGTGAAGTGTTTAACGCTCTCGCGGACAGGCTTCCTTCTAGTTCCTTTCGTTGTTTGTTTCCGTTTTCTTTCCCTGGCCGGGAAGGATGGAAGCTTAGTTGAGAGTGGTTCTGTATGAAGCGCTTTTAATCCCTAGTGCTTAAGTTGGAAGCAAAACATTTCATTAAAAGCATAAGTGCATATTATGTATTCTCTTGAAAGTACTTGGTGAAGCACTTTCGCACTTTATAAAGTTTTTGTAACTAAACAAAGTATGATCCAAGGGGATTATCGATGGTGCTAACCGTTATATCTTTATTTAAAATTCAAGACCCAACGGTTAAAAGCTATACAGCGCCATAGATTATTTTTTTTTATTGAAGACTGTCCTTCAAAGAGTTCTCATGTAAGAAGCAGCTCTACTCGTAAGCTTGTTATAATTGTTTATTTGTTGGTAAAACTACAAGCTTGTCATGGAACAACGTTTGGAATTGCTCTTGGTGGAACATTGCTCTCCTCTTAATAGCCTTCCCACAATGAACAGTTAATTTGTTTGATTCATATCGAATATTGTATGTCTCTGAATTGAAGGAATATTTTTCTAGAAATGATCTTTAGTTCTCCATAAAAATAATAATTTTTTTTGATAATAACGTTTATACTGTGAAATGATGTTACATTGTTATTGAACGGTGAAAAGCTCCTTACATGCCAAGTATTTTTCCTTGTAGGAATAAAAGCACTGCCAGTCAACTCCATAGCCAGGAGCACTTTTCTATAACCAAATCTAAAATGAAGGTATTGAACGCTGCAGCAGCGACCCCTCTAAATTTACAATTTTGCCACTCCACCAACCACCACTCCCTAAAACCCCCATTTCTTCTTCTTCCTCCCCAATTCCCACCCCTCCAAACTCCAACCTCTCCTTCAATTTCTCTCAAACCCGGCACCCGTTTCTCATCTGGGTCCGCAATCAAAGCATCAATGGCGGCTCCTACTCCGTCCACGGCGGCGGAGACCAAGCCCTTCGCCGTCCTCTTTGTGTGCCTCGGCAACATCTGCAGAAGCCCGGCTGCCGAAGGGGTGTTTAGAGACTTGGTCAACAAAAGGGGTTTGGATTCCAAGTTTAAGATTGATTCAGCTGGAACTATTGATTACCATGAGGTAGGACCTAATTTTCAATCATATATTTTGATAAGACGATATTCTAAACTGCTCTAATTTACGAAAATGGATTCTAACTTGGGTGAAAGCTGGGCGGGCACGCTTCCATGGCTAACTGGTCTAATCCACGTCTACGCTATCACCACTGCTTAGTTTCTGAGAAAACGTAGAAAGTATATGAATTGTTTCATTTTATTTTGGTGGTGTTAATAAGTATAATTTCTGAATTTTAATTGTATTTTTGGTGTTAAAAGGGGAATCTAGCGGACCCGAGGATGAGGGCAGCCTCGAAAAGGCGTGGCATTGAGATAACTTCATTATCGAGGCCAATCCGGCTGCCTGATTTTCGCGATTTTGATCTTATTCTTGCAATGGACAATCAAAACCGAGGTGGGATTATTAATGTTGATTCCAAGAATCATCACATGCATTTTACTTGGCATTCTTGAAAGTTTTGATCATCCCCTTGTATGTTTTCATACTCGAATATTTGTACATGTTTATAACTCTATATGTATGTGTTATACTGGATTAACCTGTGGTATGGATGTTGGCTACAGCTGATATAATAGAGGCGTTTAATCGGTGGAAATTTAGAGAACCTTTACCTGAGGACGCTCACAAAAAGGTCTGTAATTTGTACTTAGTACTCGGTTAAAGGATGCTTCCATGGAGTGGTATGGGTTTTATTCCTTGATTTTCATATGTGGTTATTCGTAATGCAGGTTAAGTTAATGTGCTCTTACTGTAAGAAACATGATGAAACTGAAGTGCCGGACCCTTATTATGGTGGACCACAAGGTTTTGAGAAGGTGATACTGTAAATTCCCGTTAATCATCGTTCTTCAGCTTATCATTAATATATCAAGTGCCTGCATCTAAGGTGTCAGCATATAACATGATAGTTTTATCTGTTATGCAATGCTTGTGAGGAATTTAGTGAACTTATCAACGATTGACGCATTACAGTGACAAGGGCTGTATACAATATTGATAACATGCTCATGGTTTCAATATATATCTCAAACCTTGTTAACCATGCCTTACAAATAACAATTACTAGAATATAATTCGAACTGATTTTTTGTTGTAGTGTTTGTAAAATGTTCTCCTTGCAGCTGATAAAGTTTTTGTTCAAATATATAGGTCTGCACAGTCAAAAAACCCTTTCATGTTCATTTTTCGTTTATATTTTTTTTATGTGATGGCATCTGAAGATCATTTCCGTATTCTACCTTTTCAGTTTCTATTTACTCTATGATGTTTCTTTAGAGCATGCAGGGTTTTGAATCAGTGTCTAATCTTTGAATTCTTTAATTGTGGTAAATGAAGTTTGATGACACTATAAATACAACGCTTCTTGTGTTATTCAGCAAGCTATCCCGAACTGAAATTTTTGGATTTAAATCTGTTAAACAGTAGGAAGATGATCCTGTTTTTTTCTTGGTTGTTTAACTATTTAACCAGAATACAATGACCCATTTTTCTATTAAAAGTGAGAAGTCCCAGAAAACCGTAGGGGGAGATAAAAAACGCAATTCAGTACTGCACAGTCAAGAACTCAATAAAGGAATTCAACCATTGGATTTTGCTTATATAACTTTGAAGGATGATATATATATATATATATATGTATGTATGTATGTATGTATGTATGTATGTATACAAAATGAGAGAAAATAAGGAGAAACTGTAAAAGAAAGATAATCCGGCTAGCTACTGGCATTGAGTTCTTATACTTTTGTAGATTGATGCTAATTATGAAACATCATTATCTTGCAGGTTTTAGATTTACTTGAAGATGCGTGTGAATCATTGTTGGACAGCATCTTGGCTGAGAACAAACACATCTTTGATTCTTAAACTCACTGTGAAATCCAGTTGGATTGATTTTAGGGATTTCGGTTGATCAGCAAACTGTCCATTTTGCATAATGCTTCTTGTTTGTTTGTTATGTAAAGCAGCTTTTGCTCAAGGTCCGACGCCATTACATAAGATCCACATTGTCATTTGTAAGTGAACGGTAGCTTCAACAGAGAATTTATCGCTAACTTCACTTAATCACTCAAAAATATTGGTGCATCACTTGATTTAATCAAGGCGCTGGATTATGCGTGTCAATTTTTTGAGTCGTAGTTTACCCCGACAGAAAATAGAAATGAAAAGTTATTTGATTACAAGTCTATCGGTTTGTTTGTCCGTTGTCTCTTTGCTCTTGTTTTGTAGGTGACAACAATGTTCAGAAGGGAGGAAATCAAGTGCATATTGGTGAAGATGCTACAACTCTGGTAACTACCCGAGTTACAAGCCCTTCAACTCGTGTAAGATGCTAGATACATTGTCATGCCAAAGATCCTTCAACTCGTGGTAGTTGTACTTCTTTATACTTGTGGAAATTCTTTATCTAAAAACTTCTAAAACAAAAGCGTATATCGAGTATTACTCGGAGACAATATCGTGATGTCTACAACTGTTTACAGTATTAAAACTAGCTATGTTAAATACATTAGCCGTATGTTGACGCAAATGTACAATGATACTGACATGGCTTCTTCCGCTGCAAATGAACTAATTCGGAAACATTTGAGACTTGAATGCTCCGCCAGATCTTCGTTTCTTCATACTAAAATCTGTTTTTTCCAACCGCGTTTCCTTCTCGGACTGGCGCTTATCATGCACGAAAGTGCATTTACAAGCTCCGAATCCTCTTCATTCACAAGCTTCTTTGCTGCACTTGGGTCGGCAAGGAGGAGCTTCGCTACAAGATATCCAGCAGCCGACCAAGTCTGATACAGCTGTGCCTTCTTTCCGATAAACCTCGCTCGCTTGGTGTCATAATATTCAGGCCAATTGTCAGTAGATATGCGCTTCTCAGCAACCTCGACGGCCTTTGCTGCAATTTCTGGTCGATTAAGCTTGATGCATGCCACGGTGAGCTGAAACAATCCCGCAACGGTGTCAACTCACACAAACAATCAGATCACTGCTAGATGCTAATGCAAGAACAGGTAAACTTTGCATTCTTTTCGACACTTCAAAATTACATCTTCAAAGTCGTTCGAGGTGGGACTTGGGAGGGGAAAGAAACAGCCTTCACTGAATTCCGAATAAAAGATTTACCTGCCAGAGCAACGTTGGCCACGAGCCTCCATTGTGATAAGACCAGGGACTACAACATAAAATCAGATAAAGGGGGTGTTAGGAAACAGGAGAGTGAATTTTTCAAAAAGTCGAGGATAGAATCATTACGTATTTTTGGGATCGCTGCCTGCGACGATTTGCCATTCCTGGCCTTCGAGAGCAGGGTAACATATTTTAAACGGCATCTCTGCTACTAATTCATCCCATTTTGATTCAATAAGATCCAGTATAGCATGCGACTGCTCGTCTGTTGCAAGACTACTTACAATAGACCATAAGTTTCCGAGAGAAAAGAAACGAAAGTCCATGTGCGCAGGCTGCAGGTTTCCAATCAAGTACCCGCCTGTACTGGGCATGAATCCCATCAGCCACGACGGAATCTGATCTGGGTAAATATTGAACTTATTAACAGCATCATACGAGTATTCCTCTGTCATGTATCGGTAAATTTCATTCAGTTTTTTCAAATCAATCCAGTAATATTCCCTGATATGGAAGGACAATGCAACCAGACGGTTGTTAAGCGCTCGCGCAAGGTCTGCTGATGCTTCCTCTGGAGCAAGCATCTCGCGCGCACCAAGTAATGCTGAATAAAACAGTGCCTGCAAGGACAGAAAACACTCCGATGACTCTAAAAGCATTCACTAGAAATAAGCAATGAAATGACATGCACACAAACAGATAAAAGAATTCATTCGAAATATACGTACCTGAATCTCCAGAGGATGGCCATGAATTCCCATGCGGCGATCTATCATGCAAGAACCATCTGTAACCAATAATGTTGGAAACATATCAAAACCATCAGCAAGACATAGCTTTAAAATCATTTTTATCCCCGTTTGCACATCAACTCTTTCCTGCACTGAAACATCTCCAGAGCATTTTCCATAAGCTCGTAACAATATAATCCACCATAACCCTACAGAAAGATCAAAGGCCAGAGATTTATTAACTGATGATGTGACGGACTTGAAATTAAAATGATACTACCTCCCTATCGGGTTTGGATCATCGAAAACGAAAAACTAGATTGAATTTCAAAGATAATTTACAAATAGAACACACTTCCTACCAGAGTCAACTGGGGCAACTCGACCAATAGCAGAGTCACCAAAGTCAGGATCCAATACATCTTCAGTTGCAAAATCATCACCTTCGAGTGGAACAGTGCGAACCTTAAAACTGGCTGGCATTAGTCCTTGACCAGGACTATAGCAATCCATGGTTTTCTCCCAGCTCTGTAATAAAAGGGAGGGTGATTCAGTAGGACAGAAACAAATTAAACTTAAAAAGGAGTATGTTCACATAGAAGAAATTGAAAGATAAGATAAATTCAATAGAACAGCATAAACAAATTAAACTACGGAAAATGAAAGTCGGCATTTATAACAGAATTCATGTTTCCAAAGAGCTACCTGGCCCTCTCTAATCATGAATTTTTGCAAAGTGTTTTCCAGACATTTTAATCACTAATCCGTCAGAAGCCAAAGGATTCATATGTAGACAATACGTTGGTGTGTAATGCACCAAACCAAATGATTTAAATAGAATATCAAATGAATTTAATTCAAAATTAAGCAACTGTGTATATGCGTATTACTCGAATAGGAGAGTATTTTACCTGCAACTGAAGGGTATAAAGAATGAAGTTCCGCACAATATCATACTCCCCTTTTAAAAGGAAAGCTATCCCAGAAGGTATGAAGTCACGAATAAAGACCTGATCGTAATTAAGGGTACTAGGAGAGCTTGGATCATTAGAGGCAATGGTTCCAATAGGATTGTTACAATAATAGACCATGGAGTTCTTTATTAAGGTCCATGCTTCCTCCTCAATCAAATTGGCCTTCGACTTCTGTGTAGAACCTTTAATTTTTCTAGCCGCAGTCGCCTTGCTATTTGACCCAAAACCTCCATCTTCATGTTTCAGTTGTTGATCCGCCTTGAATTCATAATTATCTGGAGTAGGACTAGTTACACCATTAGGAGGAAATGGCATTGCTTTATCTGATTCGTCTACAAAAATTTCCCCGTGCTGATCTTCTGCGGTTGCCCCTCTGAAATTCTCTGCCTGTTGACATTTGCAACTCATTGAATCAAACCTTCTAACATGATTCTTTCCATGAAAAACATCATTTCTCCCCTGAAACGCACATATCCTCCTGCGGTCCCACGAAACTCTCGCATTTGTACACACTTGGGCACTCACTGAACTTCTTTTCCGCGCATTATTCAAACCAGACTTAACAGAAACAACTCCATTTATATTTCTCAAACATATATTAAAACAGCCAAATCGAGGTAATGCCCCAGACATAACTTGTCGAACAGCTTCCGAAGTAGCCATTGGGCACAACGTATACAACTAACTCTTCCGAAAACCTTAAATTAACCCCTCTGATGACGAAACCTCGACTAAGTACATTCGATATTCAACACCCCTTGTCTCAATTAAGGCACCTACATCAACACATTAGCTTAAACTCATCAACTACTGCAATTAAACTTGCCCAACATTGCTAATTCAATCTGTTCCACCAAACTAGAACCGAAAACTGAAAACGAAATGGTTATCATCGAACAGAATTTGCCCTCCATTCAATCACATAAACAAAGTTCAAAAAGCATGAATTCAACAAGCATGCACAGACAAAGTGGCAGGATTTCAGTATCGAAAAACAACAAATTTGGATTTTTCATATTGAACATTAAATTTGGCTAAAGTTGTACTGTTTTCGAATCTTACCTCAGAAACCCTACACCTAAAGGGGAGAGTTTGTCGAGCGTGGCACCAAAAAGACGACAGTACTCATACACGCAACGAACCAGGACTGAGCTTCTGCAATAACGACGACTTCACACCTTCTATTTTGCTTTGGCTTCCAGAAAAAGAGGAATTTTATATTTATGGTTTGAATTTTATCGAGATAATATAAGGGATATTTGTCTTTGGTCCAACAAATGAGAATCGTCCTCGTATACGCACTTGCTCATGCACAGTATCAACAAGCTGGAGGTATATGATTTGTCAACTCAATCAACAAAAAAAAACATGATACAGAGCAGAAAATTTTCATTCTGATCGGAACACGGATAGAATACCATGTATTTTAATTTAAGTGAGGATAAATTTTATTTGTTAAAGTTATTAACTTTTTAACACACATATCCTACAATTTATACAGTAACACGTGATTTATTATCCGTGTTTCGATCACATTGAAAAATATCCGTGTCTCCTTGTCTAACTCTGTTACACGTGCCCCAATCCTAACTATTACAAATCAATGTCTCGTTTGTAACTCCTTGTCTAATTCTTTTACACGTGCCCCGATCCTGACTATTACAAATCAGTAATACACGTAACAAGTATTCATCAACCACATCATCGACTAATCCACCTTTGTATCTTGATTGGTTCTTACTGGATTAGAGTGGATTCAAGATTTGTGAAGTTCAATGTTTGTTTCTGACGAGGACTAGTTTTAGTGGGATTAAGACTAATGGACTCACTAAATGGCCTTAGCAAGACCTACTGAATAACATGGGACTGCAAGCCTCACAAAATGAGACGTCAAATTCAATACTTCAAGTTTAAATTTAATGGCTGACTTGGCATCCTCCATCTCCGACGCTGAGACCCCCTCTCTCTGCCATCCTCTCTTTGGCGTCCTCTATCTCAGACTCCTTGTCATCTCCTATCCAACTGCGCCATCTCTGAGATTTTTGAATTGGATTCTGGGTTTTATAAAACGAAGCATCCTGGGTTGTTTGGACTGCATCCTGTATTTTTTGGATTAGCTTCTGGAATTTTTGAAATAAGGGTTGGATTTCGGGAAAAAGAGGGGAAGAGAGAGAGTTTGATAAACAAGGGTCTTCTTCATCTGGACACACAAGGTTTGTTTTGCAAATGGGTTTCTTTTGGAAGGCATGGGAATTCCATGAAAGAGGATTGGTTTTGCGATTTGAGGTTTGGGTTCTGGGAATTCGATGAAGCAACAAAGGTTTGAGAGGATGAGGTTCACAGAGAAGTAGAATCTGTGATGGTATAAAATGATTATGATATTTATTTTTGGGTAAATTACACATTAACACCTCAGGTTTGAAATCTATTGCAATCTTTTTGACCAGCGACCTGACCCGACGAAATCCATGATTTTCGATGCCTTTCACTGTGGGTTTTCAGCGAATTGAAGCCACTCACCACCTGGAATCGACCTAGCATCCCTTCCTCTACCACTTTCATCCAAAACCGGAGTCAAATTAGCATTGGTTTCATGAAGAACTGCATCATTAGGTGCGATGGTCCCTTGTCGGTGATCCATTATTTCTAAAGTGTTCCTCTTTGACCATCACCACCACCAAAAGGCTCCCCTTGAGCCCAGGAACAAACCCCAAACCAGTTTGGGGGCAGTGCAGCGACATGTTAGATGAATCGAAGCTCATTTTATTCGAGGGTTTCGATGGATCGAGGGCCATTTCAAGTGTTTCCAGGCCTAATTGAGCCCTACATGTTTGTAAAATTTGGTAATTTTTGGAGTTTGTCGAAATTCATGGTTTCCATTCGCCGGAAACCGCTGCCTACGGCAACACATGGCCAGTGGGCTGACGTTTCCTTTTTAAGTTAATTTTGACATTCTAAAATTATATTTGATATTCGTTTGATGTGATTCAATTGTTTCAGTTTAATATTGTAAATGATCGCCATTTGAATATTTTAAATGGTTTAATTAACAGTGAACTACGAATGACTTGATCCCGTTTGAGGGTACGCAAGTAATCTAACAAAAAGGTTCAATGTAGCCATAAAATGATCGAACTAAATTTATTGGGGTTTATAAAGTATTAATTAACCATGACATTGTTTTTGGCCTACCACTAGATTTTGCTTTCAAATAATTTTTCTATAATTTTGGGTCGTTATAGTAATGCCTCCATCTCAACTTGCATTGCCTTTGTCCACTTTGGATCTCTCAAGGCTTCTTTCATTTTGGTAGGTATTTTAATAGTTTTCATTTGTTAAACAAGTGCACAATATTGCGGCGAGAGTCGATGAGTAGAGACATAGCTAGCAATTGAATATCACACCTTCCCTTCTAGAGAGTACTTGTCTGGTGGCTTTCCTCTATTTTGTTGAGGAGGCAACACATAAGAAGATCTATTAATATTTGAGTGAGCACTTACCTTAGAGATATCTGTTGGATCATATATGTGTACTTGAGGAATATTGACTTGGGGGGGGGGGATTGCCATGTTCTGCTTCACTAGAGTTATTAAGTTGCCGACCCAGATCTGCACCAAACAATATCGAATTGGGCCCACTTGGGCCATCATCCATTATTTGATCCCGAGGAGTATGGCTGGGAGTAAAAAATAACTCGTCTTCAGAGAAGGTTACATCCATGGTGACGTACATATGTCGAGTAGATGGATGATAACATTTATAGCCCTTTTGTTAAGGACTAAAGCTAAGGAACACACACCATACCGCATATGGATCAAGTTTGCTTTGTTGATTTTTGTGAAAATGTACATGTGCCACACAACCAAAAACCCGAGGTTTGAGATGAAGAGTGGAGGGTAGCAAATCATGATTGGCAAGCACGGCCAAAGGTGTTGTAAAAGAGAGAACACGCGAGGGCATTCAGTTCATGAGATAAATAATATAGGTGACTGCATCAGCCCTGTATATCTTGGGTGCACAACTACCAATAAGAAGAGCATGGGGAATCTCAAGGATGTGCCCATTTTTTCGTTCGGCAACTCCATTTTGCTGTGGGGTTTGAGGACACGTAGTTTAATAAGGAATGCCCTTTTTTTGTAAGAAATTGAGAAAGATCCTAATTAAGATACTCACCACCATTGTCTGACCGAAGCACTTTAATAGGGAGTGGATATTGAGTATAGACCATGTGATAAAAAGTTTTGAAGATGCCCCCCACATCGCTTTTATTATTCATGAGGTATAACCAAGTCAACAGTCATCAACAAATGTTACGAACCAACGCACACCATGCTAAGTAGTAACCAAAGATGGACCCCACACATCAGAATGAATTAACTCAAACGGTATTGTTCTTTTATTCAAAATTGGAGAATATGAAGCTCGATGACTGAGCCGATAATGCCACAACTGAACAGTCTTCAATTTTCCATTGTCACGAACTTGAACTTGATGAATACGACCCTGTGCAACATCATCAACATAATACAACCTCTTCCTCTTAGTACCACGTCCAATGATTTACTGAGTGCAGATATCTTGAAGTAGATAGAAAAAATGGAAATATTTGCACACTATAGTTTAATTGCTCGGTAACTTGTCCCACATATAATAAGTGGTTAGAGAGTGCGGGAACAAGTAAACAGTTATGTAAGGAGATAGTAGGAGTGAGTGTTATCAAACAAGCCCTTGTAACTTGGGCCACACCATCATTAGCAGTGATAATACTATCTCAAGGTAGTGGTGTTGTAGAGCTAAAAAAGGACTGATCATAAGTCATATGATCAGTGGCTCTAGAGTTAATGATCCAACCTGTATCAGGAATACCAAATGCAATTAAGGCAGAGCCCGTGTTACCTGGATTGTCGAACTGTTCTTGGGAACTAATTAGATTTAATAGGGCCAGCCGTTGACCCAGGTTGCCTGGGTCCAAATCTGGTGCATGGTTGTTGTCCGCTAGTGGGTTTAGCAGGCCCACAGTTGTTTTGTCCACTCGGCAAGCTCACGGTTTCTTTTTCACTGGCATCAACACTTGTATCAAGTATTACGAATGAGAGTTTACATGTTGTTGTTGATTTTCTGATTTAAATTGTAATGTATTTCATATATTTTGATGCACAAGAGACCAATTTTATATGATAGAAAAGATGAGAGAGATGGCCACAAGCAACTAACTGGGAAACCCTAGTGATCGGATAAACCTAGGCTTAATCCAATCCTTAAAGCAAGGAGATTACACCAAACACTAGGTTAAAGAGCTAATCATGTCAACTCCCTTAAATCAAGGGAAGATAGTTGTTCTACACCTTGAGATAATGATGACCTTGATATCTAGGATTTGGTGACCCTAGAAACCGAAAGACCAAATGTGTGTACATTTCAACACTCCCTTTCAAGTTGGATCGAGGAGGTTAATCAATGCAAGCTTGCCCAAAATATGATGAAATTAAATCGATGAATGTGCCTTGGTAAAAAGATTTGCTTGTTGATCATGGCTTCGCGTGAATATTGTCCGGATGACGTGAGTTTGAACTTGAGCCTTGATGAAATGGCAGTCCACTTTAATATGTTTGGTTCTTTCATGAAAAATAGGGTTAGCAGCGACGTGCATGGCTGCCTGATTATCACACATAAGTGACATAGAAGTAGAATTAGGAAACCATAAGTCTGAAAAGAGTCATTTAAGCCAGATTAGTTCACAAGTCGTGGCCGCCATTGCTCAATATTCAGCCTCAGCACTGCAGCAAGCGATAACTTGTTACTTCTTACTCTTCCATGTGACTAGATTTCCACCAACAAATGTACAATAGGTTGTAGTAGATTTTTCTCCCTATGGAACCTTTGAGATATTGTGGGATTCTCTTAACAATGTTGAGATGATTCATAGTGGGATAGTGCATGAATTGACTGGCCAATCTCACTGTATATCTGACATCCGGACGAGTGATAATGATGTAAATAAGCTTGCCCACCAATCTTTGATAGTAGCTTACGTCATGCATAGTTTCTCCATTAATGGCAAACTTCAATTTACAATCAATAGGTGTGATAGCAAGTTTGCAATCTAACATTTTAGCTTCATTGAGAAGGTCCATCATATATTTGCGTTGATGTAGAAATAACCCCTTTGAAGATGTTGCCATTTCAATTCCCAAAAAATACTTTAACCTCCCCAAATATTTGATAGCAAAAGTTT